TGTTGTTGTTTTTCTTACTACTTTTTCATTTATTGAAACGGAAAACTCAGAGCCGGCAACTGCCATGATGGATAGTGGATGGATACCGGCGCCGGTTCCTGGTGAGGATGCCGGTGCCGGTATCCAGAAAGAGAACCGGCGCCGGCAGCGGAGTCACTTCCTTAAATTTATTGCGCCAATTTTTTGGCATTGGCCGCCATTTTGATTGGATTTCCCTATAGTCTACTAGTCTGCATCACAGTAGTGCGATAAAGTGCTACTTTCAACTTGCAAAAGGGTGCGGTAAAGTGAACTTTCCACACGCTCGTAGGTAAAATTATAATGACATACAGCACAAACTTTCATATATGATCAATATTGGATTTTCTAAATCTTGGATCAAAGCCTTTGAATTTGCAGGCCTTGAATATTAGGAAGCTGGACTAGGGGCAATCGGGCAATGACTTTAAAACCCATTCAAACATTCTATAATTATTATAAAACAAAACGAAATCAAATAAATAATATTAAAAAAATACATTTAAATCCATCTCTAAAATTAAAAATTGTAATTTTTGATACCCATGTAGGTATAAGGAATAATTGGACTAATCATCATATTGCCCATAATGTCTTCTTTATTTTGAGTGCATTTTAACAATATACTTTATTACAATATGGTTGAAAATTGAGGCTTTTTATTGATAATAATTAACGAATTAGGTAATACAAAAACATAAAATTCTGAGGCTGTTTACATCTTGTTTGGTTCCTATATAATGCATTTATTGTCAATGTAATCATTAAGCCCAATTTCTTATAGTAATACAGATATACCTAAATATTGAATCAATATTGAACCAAAACTTACCGCAAAAACTAAAACAACACAGCACAAAAAACCAAAAATATTTCTCCTGAAATTGTACTCGTACACAATTCTCCAACCTCACTTTTAGGCCGTCGATCTTCCTAGGACTTGTCGGGGGCGTTCCATTCCACCACTACCCAAAAGATTTAGGCCGACGTTTGGACGTTTAACACGGAACAAAAATGAATAATTTAACTTATCATTTTTCCTTGATTTCAATTTATCGAAATATTCCGGGTCCACAGGCCAAAACATGAATTAAATTAATACGCGGTAGAAAAAATAAATTGTTTTCCATTTTCCACAGAATGGGATTTTTTTCATGTAATTTCTTATAAAGAACGGAATTGAAATTAACGGAAATGCTGAGGAAGCTCTAGACAAAATTATGCGGAACAGTACCAAAAAGTGTTAAGTAAAAATAAACCGAAATGAATGGCAGGTATGTTGAGGAGTGGGAGTTTATTTCCGGAAAGCGGAAAACTACGAAGTAGAACAAACGTGGTATAGAAGAAAGGAACGGCTGTAAATTCGACTGGTATCACTGGAATCTGGACAAGCTGTGTCTGAACTTTGTGCCTGATGGGAACCTCCTCCACTCTCTATAAGAACTAGAATACTAGGTAACTAATCGAATTTTTGAAACTTATCGACCCATTCCTTAGAAAATAACAATACCTACTTATCTTATGAAGGAAATGCAGATACCTATACAGTATGCCTAGGCACAGCCAGAAAGGTATTCCCAGTTTTGTAATGGGAATCGATTACAATTAAATAACTCCATTCAGACAATACATCAGAATCAGTTAAGGCTGCATATAAGTTTGAATCTTTCCACATCTTCAAAGTAATATAGGCAAATCAAGATCCAAACAGTTTCTTATATCAGTTTGTAGAATAAAAGTGATGGGATTTTTATTTCTAATTCTAAGACTAGTTGTAGGGAGATAATGAGCTAGCTGTTTCATCTGCCTATGCCCTATGAGCCGCCAAATCATAGGCCAAATGCGGATAATTTGAAATTAAATTTCTTAGTCTTGGTACAACTAGGCGATTAATCCTATATACCTATGGAGTGTGTTCACAGAGAGAATACCATATGACTTAAAGCTGAAAAATGTATAAGTTCTGTATATTTATATTATGCCTTCCTAATTGTATGAAGATTTCTTATCTGCCATAGTTTTAATATTTATCTACATGTCACATCTCTGTGTCAGACTTAAAAAAGCAGCTACTTATATTATCAAAATTTTTGAATATGCACATTCTTAATAGCTATATAATAATATGGGTATAGTACTGCACTAAATCATCTATCTAGGTTCTTCCTCTCCTTTGTTTGTTTGAGGGTAGTAAATAAGACCATCAGAATTGCATAACACTGAACCAACCCACAAAGAGCTAGGAGAAATCGCCAAATCAGGAATAACCCAACTATGTTGGTAATGCATCATGACATCAGCAACACAGCATAACGCATAACTAAATGATCTAATGGTCAGACAAAGTTGGCGATAAACAACATTGGAGAAAAAAAAATAGTCCAAAGAGATAGAATACATGGAAGAAAGGAACGATATCTTCAAACCATTGGTCAAAACTCCAAGAATTTGAGAACCAATCCAGAACAACATCACTATTGTCTCAAAGTATATATAGAAATAGGTATCAATATCTATTTTATTGTATAATAGCCGATGCTAATTGTATAGGAAATCGTAGGTACTGGAACTGCTAAGAAATTCATTCATAACCACTTTTGTGGCAGTTAACCAAAAAATAATGGAAGTCCAAAGCTTTTTATTCAACTATTACTAGTATTACTTATTTAAAATTTAATTTTGGATCGTTATAAACGTTAATAAGCATCTGAAGCGTTTGAAAAAAAGAATTAGATGTAGGTAGTCTTATACTTCGTCCACTCAATTTCTCAACCGATGCCATGCCATTATATTGATAAAAATTAGAAGAGGTAGAGATCTCCACAGGTTATGAAACAATATCTGGTGTAGGTACTCCATGGCAGTCTCTATAGGAGCTATCAAGTGCACATCGCAGCTGTTTTGGAAAGGCAAAAATATACTTAAGCAACTGGCTACAGTACAAAGTACCTACCTAACTGTGGCGTGGATACCAAGACATCAAGGCATAGATGGCATCAAGGAAGCTAATTTTCTCGCAAAACAAGGGGTTAGTTTGGGTTAGACACTTTTCCAAGGACTATATAGCAATTTTATGGACTAACCAAAAGAGCCATCCCATGGAAGAGCTGAACAGATAGGAAAGGAACTATTAAATGCTTATTCATTGGAGATCCACTGGGTCTGAGATAGGCAAAAAGGTTTTATCCTGCTCACTGAGAATGGACTAGTACCGTACTACCTAAAATCAGATAAGCATAGCGGATATTGACTCATGCAGGTTTCGAGAACAACCAGCAGAACATCTGCCCTGTGAATGTCATGCTCTGTTTCACAAGAAGATGAAATAACTTGAAGGGGCAGGGCTAAAGCCTCAAGAAATAAGCATTATATAAACAGCCCAAGAAGCTACTGGGCTAAAAATCTTAGACACCAACTTGAAACAGACTGCGGCTGTATCAGTTTGAAATGACTCCAGATGCAATCTACAATCTACCCCACAAGGCAGTAATTTGGGGCTATTTATTATGTTTTGCCTCGTTCCTCGTTCATAAATGATGTAGCACTTCACTTAATTAGCTGAATATTTTAGGATTTATACTACTATGGAGCAGAGAACAAGATTTAAATCAATTACCAAATAGTGTGAAAGATCGAGTTCCAGCCAACTTAGAATTCAATCCTCACTGTGAATATAATAATTATTGTAAATAAGATATATGAAGAGAAATCCATTCTGTAATTTGTGTAGAAAGTTATCAATAATCTCAAAAATTATATGGCAATACCAAAAATTAAGCCACTTATAATAGATGCAGATATATAGGTACCGTTTTGGTAGAAGAGCTCTGGGATAGAGATATTTAACAAATGTAACCAACTCATTAATGACGGCGTTCATATCTTTTCATTTTCGAAATAAAATTCATCTGAAACTCACCTAGAAGGCGTCTGTAAGAACATAGTGTCTCTGAAAAAGCAGTTGTGTATTGATGTTCAATTTAGTCTAGAATTTTTTATGAAATTTTGACTTATAGGGCAGGTAGGTGAAGTGTAACATACTTTGGCATCGATAAAGGGCATTCAAAGTTTAAATAAATGTAAATACAGAATAGATGGTAGGTAAGCAATATCCTACTCTTCCATAATTTTGTTCTACAGTTGAGTCATGAACTCGAGATTCTGGAATTCGAGCATGTGAAAAAAAAAATATTTTGATCTTAAAGTCTAATTTGAAAAGCTTTTATAAGGGTTGGTGGCTCGATCTTAGAGAAATTTAACCTAATAAGTTCATATTTATACTAGTATATGTGTTCGATTTTCGATAAGATTTATCAGGACTGTAAACATTTACATAGGTACTCAACAATGGCATGATTTCCTCAATTCAACATTATTTCTGATATATTGGTGAAGTTTTGGATTACCTAATTAAAAGGCGACGCGGTCATCAATATCTTCCAAGGAGAAAGGAGGCCTAACTTGCCTTCTTGCAACATTTTCTGAAGGGTTAATTTATTTTACTTTTTTAATAATTTCCATTCTATAAATTAGGTACGTCACGAATAGGCTCCTTGCATCAAATTTTTTTATTGCTGACTTCGATAGTCCATGAAAAATAAGTCAACACGTGTTTTTTCTTTTTCTTCTTAGTTAAAAATTGACGGAGATACAACACTATGAAATCTGCCTATGACGTCATTTGTTTAATAAATTAGTGACGTTGCACATGCTCAGTATATCTATATATAGAAAACCTAATATTTGAATAACTTCCGGAATAATCATATTTGGGCGAAATAATTTCCTACAGTTTGCAGTAAACAATAATCAATTTAATTTTCCATGCAAGTACCCTATTGGCAGAATTCTGCTTGTCCCAGTTTTGGAACCTAGGTATAACCATTGTATCTATAACACATCAAAATGTTTCAACTTTTTTCCGATTCCCCTTTTTCGTACCAAGGCTATTTTGCATGTTGAAAAAAAAAAATACAAAAAAAAAGACGTCAAAATATACTTATACTTAGTAAAATGCAACACATACTTTACATAACAGAATATCTGTTAACACCAGCTAAATATAAATAACTAAAAACTATAAAATAACAAAAACTTGAATTAGGTACTTAATTTTTCTAAAATTCTCTTAAACTTCAATATTCGACAGTAACACATTTCGTCTTCAAATATTCGTTCAGCGCCTCTTGTCCGAGATCCTTGCCAAAACCACTCTGCTTGAATCCACCAAACGGAGCGGCCACGTCCGTTTTATTATAAGTATTAATAAAAACAGTTCCAGCTTCGATTTTTTCGGCAAACCTTAGAGCTTTGGAAATATCTTTGGTGAAAACTCCAGAGGCAAGACCGAATTCAGTATTGTTGGCCCGTTTGAGAACACCGTCAATATCCCTAAAAATAATAATAATTGATGGTAACTAAAACAGTTATTCTAAAACGTATTATCGTTCTAAATGAAAAAGTATTTAATTATTGAAAACTGACCCATTATTGAATCGACTAACAATCATGATAGGCCCAAAAGATTCTTCAATGGCGATATACATGTGGTCTTCTACATTGCTAAATACTGTTGGTTCGAAGAAATATCCTGTCCTGTTTACTCTTTTGCCACCATATTCTAATTTTGCTCCTTCTTTTACACCTAAAAATAGAAAAATGTTATGCCTCCTGTTCCCAAATACAAAATATTAAAGTGAGCTTACCTATTTGAACATATTCTAATAATTTATTTAAATGAGCTAAATGATTTTGAGGTCCATGAGAGGTAGATTTATTGAGCGGATCGCCAATAGCAATTTTTTTGGTTTCCGCTACTACCCTTCTAAGGAATTCATCGTGTATACTATCCTCAACAAAAATCCTGCCAGCGGCTATACAATTTTCGCCTTTATTAAAAAACACAGATTGCATGCCCAATCTCACAGCCTTGTCTAAATCACAGTCGTTAAAAATAACCAATGGAGATTTACCACCCAATTCTAGAGATACTTTTTTCAAGTTGGATTCAGCGCAACTTTTCATTATCACTTGACCTACTTCTGTACTGCCGGTGAATCCTAGTTTTCTTACTTGAGGATGGTGAGCTACAGCATTACCAGCCTCCGAACCTGGGAAAAAAATTTGATTAGGTTTTATTTTAGGCTCGTTTTCAATCCTTCAACAATTATCATTTTTTTGCATCTGGCACAGTGATTAGAATAAGATACAGATTAGATAAATATAATATTATTATGAATGATTTTCACCTTTTCCTGGAACTACATTGATTACACCAGGGGGAATACCAGCTTTTACGGATAATTCTGCAAACTTAAGGGCTGTCAATGGAGAAACTTGTGCAGGTTTGATAACTACGGTATTTCCAGCTGCTAAACAGGCAGCCATTTTCCATGATAGCATCATTAATGGGTAGTTCCAGGGAGTTACTAGGCCACACACTCTAAAATACGAAATAATTAGGTTTAAATTTGTGCAACTTTCAAACACCCTACGCCAACAGAAGACAATATTAATAATCAATAATTATGATTCTTTCCAATTTTGTGAAGTCAATTATTAGTACTTTAGTTGTCTTTCAAAATCTGTATACGTATTTTTTTTATTATTCCAAGAAAAATATCACTATCAACTAATTTTGTTCTTACCCGATTGGTTCTTTTTTAGTAAAACTCAAATTCCTATTGGGTCTGGCATGAGACACAGGAATTGTAGAGCCTTGGATTTTATCAGCCCATCCAGCGAAGTATCTCCACGTTTCGATACTCATGCCAACGTGAGTCTTAAGAGCTAAAGTGTATACCGCACCGGAGTCTATGCTTTCAATTGTAGCCAGTTCTTCTTTGTGCTGTTGCATTAAATCTGCCAATCTGAAAATTGAAAACAATAATTGTTTGGATTTTGTTTCATGATTCAAAGAAAACTCATACTTGTATAATAACTGTCCCCTTTCTCTTGCGCTAATTTTACTCCATTCTCCTTCTTCAAAGGCCTTTTTAGCAGCTTGGACAGCCTTATCTACGTCATTTATTGAAGCACATTGGACGTCGCAAATTTTTTGTTCTGTAGCTGGATTAATTGTTGGCAAAGTATTTCCATTTTCGGCATCAATAAATTCTCCGTTAATAAATAATTGACAGGGGAATTTGATTTTACGTTTATTAACATCTAGTTCGATGGGCCTGTACTCAATTTCCACTTTTCCACCAGCGCCTCTGGTTTTTAGAACTACGTTTAGTACAAATTCGGAGAATACTGGGGCTAAAAATACGTCTTCGTTTTCTAAATCAGTTTTAAATATGTCTTTAACTTCTTCCACAAGCCTAAAATCATCAAGAATTTTTGGATTTTTTAAAAGTTTTTTTGGAGGGTTTTTGGTTTTTACCTTACTACATCCATAGAGGCCGCTCCAGAAGCAAAAAAGTCAGTGTCATCTTCAACATCTACGCTCAAAATTGCTTCCCAAACGTCCCTGACTATCTCAATTTGGGCTTTTTCCTCTTGCGTGTACTGAATTTGAACTTGTTTGGTTTGTTGGTCCAAGGTTGAAGCGTTTTTCATTCTACCTGTAAACAACAATTTGAAATAATAACACAGTTTTTAGATGCAATTATTATTTTAACTAGAAGCAATTTTGATTACTTTGAAACCAATTGGTTTTTATAAAACTTGTCAGAGTTGTGAGAAAGCAGTTTGTCCCACTATAACTACTGAAATCATAAAATAAATCAATGAACAAATGGATTTGTCGAAGTTAATAATTTTTTTTAGTCGGTTTAAACCGCTCAAATTATTGTCAAAATGTCTTCAACTCACCTCCTACTTTAACCCTCTTAACGTTAACATATTCTCCATCTGAACCCCTAAGCAATAATCCACCCTGGTGAATAATTCCCGGAGTGGTTCCGTCAATTTCAACTTCTTTTCCTATCGGTACTGCACTTTTCCACAAGCTGGAACCAAACAATAGGCCTTCTTGGTAGTCTTCAGTGCCTGGTAAACGAATTTTGCAACTCGCTCCCGGTACCGAGTCCATGCCTCTGATGAAGTTGTGGAGTTCGAGGCCGGTTTTTGAAAAATCGATCTTTTGTAAGTCCGGTTTGTTGAGCATTGGGTCGTAGGTGGCCCCTTTTTCACTTTGTACAATTTTGGGAGCGCTGCCGTCAGCTACCATATCTACAGCTCTGGCTACCGCAGAGATTCCTACTGGATATAAGAATCTGGAAAAAAAATCTGTATTAATAGTGTTCAAACTTATATTGTATATTAATAAATAAATTAATCAAATATAGACCAAATGTATATTTTGTTTTAGACAAAATTTTTACCTTTTGTATAGGGAATCAACAGTATCGTCTTCCAAAACTTCGCATTCTTCTTGCAAGAGAATGGGTCCGGTATCGAGTCCATCATCTGCCCAAAATATGGTGAGCCCTGCTTTTTTGTCACCGCAAATTAATGTCCTGAAAAATGGTTTAATCATCTCTTTATCTATTATAATATGATATTACTTGTGAGATAATGGAGAAAAGAAAAAATCCATGATATAATCAAGTACTATAGATGATAAATTTGATATTGTTTGTGCAAAAAATCGTCATTTATCGGTATTAAAGTTGTAGATTCTTACCAATTAATAGAACTTGCTCCTCTATGCCTTGGCAAAATTGAGGGATGATAGCAAATACTCTTAAGTCTGAAAATAAAATATTTTTAAAAAAAACTACCTTGCAAAACAAAAAATTAAACTCACCTTGGATAATTGATAACTTCCATCGGAATAAACTGCGAGCAATAAGGCAAAACATTCAAATCTGCATTAACACTTCTGTACAGCTCCAAAATCTCTGGAAGCGGAACACCTTTATTTCTCCATGCCTTGATTTTGAAGCACGGAATATCGCTTTCATGGGCCGCTTTAGCCAGTGGATCTTCCCTTTTGCCTTTGTCAAGGATAGTAAAGACACCGACGATTTTGTGTCCATGGCTGATCATTCTTTCCATTACGTCCACTGCGAACGGACTTTGGCCGATGATGGCCACCTTTAGGGAGGTTTGGCCTGCGACATTGTTTTGCTGGAAAAAATATTTTGATGTGAAAACCATACCATACCATTGGTATCTTATATTTGTATTTACTGGCTTTGGTTTTAAAGGAAAGCTGCCTAATGAATGTTAGTTTCATGAAGCTGATTTTTAAAATTGTATTGCATAAGGTTCAATAATAATTCAAGGCTGGTGTGAAGAAGAATAAGTCAGTCAATTTTTGTCTATTCCAGGCTCTCTGAAATAGTTCTGAGGTTTTTAAATTGTTTTGAACCTTTCAAAATACTACTAGAAAGTGGTTCGGAACGTTCTAATTGGCTTATTGAAGTTCTAAAGTGTTCTTACTTGGCTTATAAAGTTCTGGAGCATTTTAGAAGTTTTTTAGTAATTTATAAATGGTTCTGACAGATTTTTAAGTATTTTAAAGCCCTAGTGAAGCTGCAAAGTGTTCTAAATTGGTATTCTGGTGAATTCTTAAAGGTTTCCAGTCCTAAATTAAATCCTAATTGTTCTGAAATAACTTTGAAGTTTCTGACTTGTTTCAAAATGCTCCTGAAAATTCTGATGCGGATGCTTTATTGAAGATTTGAAGTTCTACAGCAATTTGAATTCGCTCTTGAACGCGTCCTGAAAGGCGTTTTGTAATTTTTAATTTTAATCCTAAGATTCTAGCGGTTTTCAAAATGTTTCTAGAGATTTTAGAGCTTTTGAGTGTTTTGGAGCATCCTAAACTGGGTTTCAAACTTCTGAATTGTTCTAAAATGCTTTTGGAAATTGTAAATCGGCTTTTGAATGTTTTGGAGCATTCTAAAGCGGTTCTCATGTTTGTTCTGAGGCGCTCCAGAATGCTTTTGGAAAGGAATTCTAAATTGAATTTTAAGTGTTTTGAACATTCCAAAGTGCTTATCAAAGTCACTGAATTTTATCCCAATCAAGGGACTATAATCCCTGAAAATTTCAGCTCATTTGCACTTATAGTTCCTGAGATAAAACCATGTTAAGCAATTTGGGGTGATTTATCAATTTTTCAATTGTTCTGAGTGCCTTTTTTTCATAGATTTCGGCTTCAAAACTGAGAATAATCTAGTGTATGGAGTTTGGGGGATGTTGAATGACCATTAGGACATAAAATCTCGACAAAAAAAAATTTTGAAATTTCATCGTTTTAGTAAGAAGGTACCTACCTACCTTTTTGGTATAGGTACAACAAAACTTGCATTACATAATTTATGATTAATAATAATTGCAAAAATCAGTTATTATGTCGCACAATTATTATTGAAATCCTCTCACGGCCATTTTCACCGCTATAACTTAGGGGATATTTAATTCCAGTGGAGCTTTGAATGTGACTCTTGTAGAAACAAAAGTCACATTCAAAAGCTCCACTTAAATCAAATGTCCCTTAATATCCCTCAAGTGATAGCGGTGCAAATGGCCATTAATCTTATAGCTAAATAATAAATTACGAAAAAAAAAATACTCACATTTGGCGGCATCTTCTTCCTGTTTCACCACACAAAAACCGATTCAATTTTAAAAAAGTCCTCAATTAAAAATCACTCGGAGCCCGGAAATTAATTTAGAAAAATCTATTGTTTCAACCAACACTCCAGTTTTAGAACTAAGCGCTATCCCCTCAGCCAGCTATAATTTATACCAAATCAAACCCAAACAATATCTTATCAAGTTTGAAGTCAACCAGTCAACACTGTACTTTATTAGATACTGTGTGATACATATTATGACTTTCTCTTTTAGAGGTAATTTATGTGTTGGTTGGGATTTATTTTTGATTAACTTCTATTAGAATAGCATGATAAGGATTAAAAACATATTATTATTTTGGGTACCTACTCATTAACCCATTAACTACAAAAATCAATACAAATATTTATGAAATTATTGTGGCAAACAAGCAATACAAATTCAAAATTTGAGAAAAATTAATTTTTAAAAATGCAACCTTTTTTGAAATTTTCATTATGTTGTACATTTTCACACACTCTGTTGAACATTTTAATTTACATATTATTTGATGCACTTCTTGGCAATATAGGGTGGTTCATCGAAAACTCACCGGTCCAGTTTAACTGGTTAGTTTTTTAGGGGTGTTTTTTTACCTTACTACAACCCTTGAAGATGAAATAAATATATTCTACGAAGACATCTTTAGAGCCATAAGAAAAAAACAAAACCCACTTTATGGTACTATGTAAAGGCATTTTTGATGCCAAAATTTTGAATGCCTATAGTTTTTAGGATAGTAATGAAATTGCAATAAGAATTTCTTCATTAAATCATAAATGTGCCTACTTTGACGTGGTACGGGATTATGATTACTCACTATTATATTTTTTTCCTATAGGTAAGTAACATCAAAAGAAAAAGAAAACAATATGTGACACTGAAGAAGAAATGTCCAAAAAATCTATATTTAGGAAAAGCATTTTTTTAACTTATAAATACACTGCTGAGTGTCTATTGGTCATAGTTCCTAAACTCATCTTCAAATTTTGACCAAAATTACCTATTAATTAATTTGCTAACGCTATTATTTAATTTTAAATAAAATTTGTTATCAATAACGATTTTAAGTCATAGCCATTTAAAATAAAATCAATTAGTATGCATAAAACCTTTAGGCTAACTCTTTGTTACTGGTTATAACCAGTTTTATTAATTTTATTTATAAGGAAATATAATGGAAAACAATTAACAAATTATGTAATAAAATGCAAATACTCTTTAAATTTTTCCAATAAAATCATATGCAACATAATATTAAAATTGCATTACGAAACAAACTACTTTTATTGAGGCCTTTGAAACATTAAATTACAAAAACAAGGCGGTGTAAATGTATAGGTATTTACGAGGTATTTACCGAAACATTTTCCACCATTGGTAGATATTTTATTAGTGAGAATGAAAAAATGCTTGAGATCTTACCAAATCTTAATTCTATCCCACATTTCTACATTCACTAAATTTTAAAAAAAATGGGAACCTATAATTGGCCAAATAGTCGGGGGGCCTATAGTCAGTTTTTTCTTGCCGTGGCACTTTTAATGATAAAAGCATGCGGTTTTTTTTGTTCTCCTTAGAAAACCAAATAGAAAAACGTGGTATATGTTAACACTCGAAAATTTAGTGCAGTGGCGTCGAAAATGGGGATATAAGAAAAATAAAAAAATTGTTTAAGGAACCTTTCAAATAAATTTTGAATAAACAAACACTGGAGGCTTTTAAAATTTTACAAAATACCTAAAAAGAGGGAAGAACTTAAATATATTTTATTATCAAAGTATTTTCAGCTATTTTTCAAGGCAAAAAGGTACCTATTTTCTTAGTTTGTGTCCAAGAAATTAAGGTATTTTTGCGAAGGAAGCTATTTTCTTGGGAGATAGTTGGCAGACACCTGTGCATTTCCCAGAGTTGGGCCGGAGAATCCCAAAGTAAATGTTCTGTGGTTTCAGCCGCCGCTTCTGTTTCTGATCCAATGTGAGCCCTGAGTATTTCACCTTATTGGAAAATGTTAACGTTCTTTTAAGGGTATAGGTGCACGGATTTTCAGCTTTCTCCTTCTAATAAAACTAAAATAGTTTTGCTATAAGGTTTAAAAATAGTTCCTCATCTTCGCTCCAGTGTTCAATGATGTTCAAGGCAGTTTGCGTTGGGTTGGTGATAATGGCTTCGTGCTGACCCTTGGTTATTATAATCAGGATCATCCGCGTAGCATAGGATCATTTAGTGCAGATCTGTTCAGCTTGGTTAGGATGTTATCTACCACTAGCTTCCACAGTAATGGCGAGAGAACGCCCCCTTAGGGACACTCTTTGACTGTGGATACGGGTTATTGATATTGCTCCGTTTATTCCAAAGCTAACCGAGCTACAATAGGCCATTTGGAGATAAAACGAATACTTTCAATATTGTAACTAGGAAAGGACATGAAATAGGGAAGAATTGTATCCATTAGAGATGGACTCTTCGATAAATTAATCAATATTACAATATAATACTCAATTGACTTGTCAAAAATTAATTAATTTGTTGTTCTTAATTATTGTAACGCTTAATTAAATATTTGCTTGCTCTAAGCAGTTATACTAGCAAGTCTGCTAAAAAATGATGCAGAATATGGTTTAAGATTCTTTGGTTTAAGTATCAAATAGCAATGGTTGACTAACCCTGGTTTTGATTGATTTTACCGGGAAAAGCGCATCTATGTATAAGTTAATATTTATTTTACATAAAACAACAAGATTTGTAACTCCCTCTCCCCCCACCAACCTCTGCACAATTTTCCGGAGTGTTAACATATGCCACACGATTACCTACTTATATAGCAACAATTTAAAAATAGTCTCTCGTTTTTATCATCAAAAGTGCCACGGGGTACAATAGGCCCCCCGACTAAAAAGATGTTCGGATGAAACAAATACTAAAATTGAATTACAAAAAATGAAGAGGAACAGTTTTTTCAAATTGTTAATGGATTTTTTCAAAAATAGGACTTGCTCAGTGATCAGCAAATGGTTTGGGTGGCTAAAATTTCAAATGAAAAAATCCTCGTAATAATTGGTGAAGTACCAATGGTGCAGCGGTCGGTTACCGAACCAATCAGCCTGGCGGTACTAAATAGATGGCAACATGCATTAATTAAATACAAAAACAAGCGGCTTTAATTATAAAATTTCTACGATCCGGTTATATCTGGTTTCGAAGTTGGATTTCTTGACCTGCCGCCATTAGGTATAATTAACGAGTTAAATTACCATTTCCATTGTGTACCGTTCGGCTTGAGAATAGAAAGTTAAGACACAAGATATTTTATAGGTTTACACAAATGAATATTTCTACATTTGAGCTGTTAATATAATAAATATTGTATTGATGAACGGGTTTAAAAAAATACCTACTTAGAGCCAAGATGACAGGTATCCAATCTACTTTTGGATAATACCGCTCTCAGCTACAATTCTTTTCTGATATAGGTACAGGGTGTAAAAAAATAGCGTACCGGACTTCGAGGAGTGATACTAGACATGAAAATAAGAAAAAAAGTTCCTATGAACATATGCCCTAAGATGTTTTTTTGTTCTGTAACTGCCCTATATGGAAACTATACCCTTTTACGACTTTTTTTACTATCACCATTCGCTTTGGCATTGAAATATATGAATTTCATGGAAAATAGTTTGCCACTGTTCTTGAAAATAAATAAAATCTATTATTTTCATCTATATACCGTTTGAAGGGATGTAACTTCTTCAGCGAGCATCTTAGCAGTACGATACACTATTTTTTTTTACACCCAGTATATTCAAAAGAACTTCCGTTAAGGTTTTTTGTCTCATCAAATTGTAATTTTCGTATTTACGTTCTGTTTATTTTTATTCATTTACTTCCATGGGCGCCGCCAGCCAGCGGGACAGGGGGGGCAAGGCACGGGGGGTCCTGTCCCCGTACATGCGCTACCGGTGTAAATTTTCGCAAATGTGTCTCTAGAAAATCGATTTTCAGAAAAAAAATCGAAAAGATACAACTTGTATGAACTTCATCCAAAAGCCATGCGGAGCGTGACTTTGAAAGAATTTTTAGAGGTAGCAGCCGCCATTCAGGACTTCTACGCAGATATTTTGGACAACTTTCTGTCAGAGGCACAAACCTGGTATGAGATGTGGAAGTTGTCTGAACTTGCTCCTCAAGAAATTGAAAAATTGAAATATATCGACCTGCTAAAATTTTCGTTAGCAATCAAAATAGGATTAACCTTTCCAGCCACAACCTGTTCCGTTGAGAGGTCCTTCAGCATATTAAGGAGAGTCAAAGACATGGCTAAGATCGACTATGAGGCATGATAGACTTTTCGGACTTTGTATGATAAGTATTCATCGTAAAAGAGTCCGGGAAAATAAAGCATTTATCGATGCAGTTATTAAAAAATTCGGTTTCCGCCCCAGAAGGATTCAATTATTGTTCAAACAATAATAGTCCAGGAGGCAGTGAAATTTTTTAGCACTTATTTTTCCAGTTGGTGACTATTAAATAGTTTGTTCTCCTGGTGATTTCGGATGGGTTCACAAGATCAATGAAAAATACAAGTACCTACGCTTATTTTCCCAGACATAAATATTTAACATTTGCTACAATAGAACATAAAGTATATGAAAATAGCAATTTGGCTTATCTCAGATAGTTAAAGTGAGTCTGGCTGAAAATTTTCGGATCTTCAATTTTTCATTTGCCAGATATATTATCCATACTCACAGATTAGCCAGACTATTTTTTCACGTAACTTCAGTATACTTACTTCTCATTAGTATACCTATTTTTATCACTGAGAAAAAAAAGGGCCGTACAATTCTATCCATGTTGTCTGAGTGGGAAAATAAGTACCGAAAATCGTTACTGCCTCCTAGACTATAAGAAACTTTGAAAAAAAATAGTTATTTATTATACAAGACGGTAAAAAGAAGCTTTACCTGTGAGTGGAAAATGTTGATTCACGAGCGACGAAGGAGCGAGTGGATTAATTCCACGAACAGGTAAAGCTTTTTTACCATCGTGTGTAATCTATTTTATTCTTGAGCCACTTTTTATTTATCACAATTACTAAAATCATAAATTAAAATGTGCTAAAATTTCACATAGATTATGACAAATTGACAAAGTACCTAACAAACTGACACATTTCTGGTGTTGTCAATCATGCAACATATCAGATTTCTGTCAAAAACACCATAATTATTGGCCGAGTTCGTTTTTGTCAT